ATGATGGTTAAGACTCAGTCGAAAATCTGCTTTGGATCGGACAATTTTAAACTATAGCGAAAATGTTCATTCAGACATCTAGAAAAATAAACAAAATAATTTTGCAAAGAATATCCTTTTCGATAATTTCCTCTTCTGGCTCTACAATTATAAGTATTTATGTTTATGTACATAGAATATTCTAGAATAGTAGACAATAGCAGTATTAGTGTTTTTTTTAAATAATATCGATGTGTTAAGTAAGGTCAATGAAATTACAGTTCAATAAGGATGCATAAATTATAATAAGCGTGGAAATGTAATAATAAATAGAATATCAAATAAAATTAAGGAAATTTCTACAAAAAATTCAGGATCATTAGAACCTAGATGGCCAAGGTAGGGACAATGTCTGAACCAGCTTCTATTCGACACATAAATTAGGCTTCTTAATGTGAATCCCGACAGCCCCAGCAATATTTATTAGACAAACTCTTAAGGCCAAGTTAAGATTAGTTAGTATCCAGCAGATGACTTTGAAATCCTCGTTGACATCAATCTTGTGTTCTGTATACAGAAAATGAGATAGAATGGCGCTATGAATGGATTTCGCTTGTCCCCTATTTAACCAATTTGCAGGATGGTGTTCGGAAATCCAATTAGAAACACGCTTAATTGTACGTCCTATGAAACTGGCTCACTGCACAGGAGCAGTCAGATTGGTAGATACACATAGAAGAGGAGAAATTAGACAGTTTGTCTTTTACTCCTGGACGTAAAACAGGAGTAATTTTGAAGACACAGTGTAATTCAGAAGCAGAGAATGCTCTTTTTACTGCATTTCTAAGGCGTTGTGTTAATATCTCGCTGATTTTATCCCAAAAGAACTGAATTTGTAAGAGTAAGGCCTTTCTCGGAACAGTTGGTACCTTAGCCTGTCTTGATTTTGGATTCGTATTCTTATCAATGAATTTTTTGGATAACCGTTTTCACTCAGCAACCGTTTAATGGTTTTAACTTCTTCATTAAGTCATTCATCAGAGCAGATTTCTCTTGCTGTGTGGTGCAGCAAGCACTTTATTAGACTGCGTTTGTATTTCAAGGGTACGATGTTGAAAACTGGTTACCAAAATATGAAGTGAAATGGAGTTTCCCCAAATTTTTTAAAACCCTAGACTTCTATAAAATTTTCAAATTCGCCATACAGATTTTTGCAAATGTCACACTTTTAGATGTGTAAAACTCACCATGGCTTTTTTGTGTTGAAACCTAAGATGTTCAGATCACAATATGTGATCTGTCTAATACTAAAAATAGTAATCAAGAAAGCCAACTAACAAGCCTTACTGATTCATATAAGTGGTTTCCAACTGATCTTATGTATCAGTAGTATATGGTATGTTGCAATTTTTATATAAATTTGTCTTCATAGAAAAATACACATTTAGACTAAATTGGTATCGCCCTACAACTTTCTTTTTCATATACATCACTTGGAAAAATCCACTTAAAAAGTGTAATTTTACCCCATTTTGTTTTTCAATAAACATTGTGCATATTTTATGCTGACGTATATTTTTTCTCTCATACTTCTCCAGTCATATAACACATTCCTATTTTAATCACTTATAACCAGCTGGTTTTTCATCAATTACTAGAAAGTAATAACACTTTTACAATATTTCAGTGACTTATCTTAACATTCAAGTAAATTCGAATAATTCAAAGGTTAATGAGTTTTGATTTTTGATTTTTTTTTTTGATTTTTTGATTTACAGCTTGATTCCACACTGTATTTTTGGTACAAGTATGGAATTTTCAGCATGGATATCGGTAGCCCAAAATCCTCAGGCCGACCATAGATATCAGGTGTGCGTCGGGGTGGGCTGGAACCCCGGACCATGTGCATGGTCGGCGAGAGTCCTAACCACTGTGCCACTGACGCACAGCTTTTGGACGTGCGAGGGACTGAACTCTGAACTACTTACGAACCATCCGAACGCACTGCTTAGCCTCGTTTAGCTGGCAGTAAATTCGGTAAAGAGCGAAGGTAGGGTGTAAGGCTGCTAACCCCATCCCGTAAAAAATAAACACTCCTGTTACTGAAAGTTCATAGCTCAAACCTGAATGGAACACAAGGTAAAAATAAAAATAATTTCTAACTGATGGAGAAGATTTGTACCCCTGGTTGGATATTTCTGTTCGTCTTGTTTTTTATTCTCTAAACTTAGGTTGCCTTAATTTCGACGCTTTCATTATTCCTTTAGATAACATCAAGAAAGATAGTTATTACATTGCTAGAGAATTCCAAAAGCTCATGTTCTTTTCGAAACTACCGCTGTCTAGAGGGAAAATAGAACAGCTTCACAATTAAGCTATTCAGCTCAGAGGACAAAACAACATTAGAAAAACAGTCAGCTTCGTGTTTCAAAGTATATATCAATATGCATTACATAATGTATATATAGATAGAGAATAAAATGTTTATTTCGTCTTCTTTACTAAACAGTTGTAACATTTCAAAAACATCATTTTTTCATTTTGTTTCTTTTCTTATGTATTCAGTGTTAAAAGAAAATAAATGTCAGTATTTCCAAGGGAATAAACTATGCCTTGCATTTGGTTTTTTTCCCATATGCCTATCATGGCGAAGATTAAGAGGAAAAACATTATAAACGGCTGTTGAAAATTATGTGACGACTTTTCAAACTAATAGGCAGAGAGATATTTTCAAATGTAGGACTTTTAGTCATTTGGCTGATTTCTAGCTACATTTCATCATGAATCAAAATCATTTAGAGAACTGTTGAAGACCATAGTAATCAGTACAACTGGAACTCCTTTGCAGTATTCATTAAGTCTGGGACCTTTATGGTATATAGTGAGTGAGCCGGTGGGATGAAGTCAACTGAGTTCTAAGCTGTACCGATTCACGATATATGCCGATTATGTATCCTCACACTCAACTTAGTTGCTACCTCTCACTAGAAATCCAGGAAGTTTACCCCTTAGTCAGTCATTAATGAATGGACAGTGGATTATGGAGACATCTTTTTTCAATTATTTTTTATATATTACAAATGATTGTCAAATTTCATATTAGTCTGAACTTATTTCATCCTTCTGGCAGTAAATTCTGCATTTTGATACATGGAGTGGTAAGAAGTCGCAACATACATTAGTAAATATAAAAGTTAGGGAGCATTATTGTTATTCTCATAGTTTCCGACTGGAATATAGGTTACTCAACAGCACGCATTCATTGCGTCCTGTTCTCTGTAGTCCTTTTTAGTTGGTTCCACAACTGCCCATCACAGTTTCATCGCTCCTTTGTACGATCTCCTCCAACCAACCTCAGACGCCTAACTTGTTCCACTCAGTGGCCTGACGCGCAACGTCACTCGGTGGCCATTTCAGCGTATGTCCATTGTATCTCCATTTTCTTCGACAGGTTCTTGATTGGTTATTTTCCAGAGTTTGTTGCTAATGCTTTTTGGTCATCCTATCTTCATCGTAGGATGAAGACAGATGTTGATGAAAAACAGCAGCAGCCCGCTGGAAATGCTTTTCTCGACTAACAGGGCAAGTCTATAAACCATATATAAAAACTGACTTGGCATTAGTGATGAAAATGCAAATCTTGTTCGTTATTCTGAGTACAGAAGATTTCCAAACTGAATATTGAATGTCTACCTTGCTTTTCCAATCCTGCCTTTGAGACACTCACCTCTACAGTCTTTAGTTGAAACGATGACACCCAAATAAGTGAAAGCAGTGATCTTGTTTGAATTTCTACTGTTCATAGTAACTGGTGCTTGCTATTGTTGAATAGGTATCTTCATCACCTCTGCCTTATCTATGTTTACTTGAAGACCTGTCTTCGCTGCTACTTCTGCTAGCTCCTAGTTTGTGCGAAATTAGACATTATTCATCCACGAAATCGGAATCCATCATCTGCCTCCCCATCACCTGCCACATGAACCAGTTCACCTCAATCAGCAATATCATCGGTGATGTTAGGCAGCCTTATTTTACTCCTGTCTTCACTTCAGAGGCACACTGAATTTTCCATTGTAAATCACTTGCCGCTTATTTTCATCCTATAGATGTTTAATGTGGTTGTTAAATGTTTTGGATACTGCATTCTGTAATGTTGAAGCATTTTCCAAATTACATCATGTATAAAGCTATCATAGGCTTTTACAAAGTCGTTGAAGCTGATGCAGAGACTTAACTGCCATTCTATGTTCTTTTCGATTTGGTCAGTACATGATTCACCTTTCCTAAATCCCAGTTCGTTCAAGGTGGAGTTTTGCATCCTGAGCAACTTTTTCGTCTCTCCTGGAGTAAACAGAAACGTGATGCCATGCCAGTTTTTGTATAGGTTTAAGACGTTAGGAATAACAAAGGAATTAATAATGACGCCAATAATAATAATAATAATTACAGGAGAAAAATACATTTTTAATGAATATAAAAAATATTTAACACATGCAAAACTATGATATTAGTGTTCTTACCAATATCCTTTTTATTAATATTTCATCCTTAAATAAAACGAATCAATTTTTAGCAGATATATAACAGATATCAGTTAAGCTTTCAAATTTCTTCAACTCGCCTGCCGTTTAAATACTTTTGCCCATATGCAAACCTGGTTGGGACTGATTAACAGTAACTATAAATGGAGTAATAAGAACGAACCTATGACAATCGCCTCACTTGATTTGTTAACCAAAAAAATATATTTAATAATCTATTGTTGAAAAGGTGGCGAATATGTATATATGTGTGTGTGAGACAGTGTGTGTGTATGTGAGCTCATTCCCCTTTCTTCCTAACTTGTCTATCACATGAGCATACAAACGCCAATAAGTGTATTGGTATACAAAAGGAAATTGTTGGGTTCTAGGTCATTGTATTCATTTATTCATTCTCTAACTGAATACTTGACATGTAAGTGGATTTACTTTGTAAATTCTTCTTGCTTTTTTCTTCTCAATCTGAATATAACTTTTTAGTCCCAATTAGAAGAGCAGTTAGAACGTGTCAGAGAATTAGAAGAAAAATTGAATTCATCACGACAATACTCAGAAAAATTGGAATGCCGTGTTCAAGATCTTATCAATCACAGTAATTGTCAACCGTCAAGTGAATCTTTATCTTTTGAAAATCTTGAAGAAAATACAGTAGGTTGTTATTTATTATTATTATTATTGTCAACTGTTTTATATTTCACAATGAAATATGTCACTTAAACCCATAATGAGTCATAATATAGATACAGTTGACCATCAAACTGAACCTCATAGCCCTATTGTCTATTTCCTACACTTTGATGTTTGCAGCAGTTGTTACTGGGTTCCAGTCTCAGTGCGAACACCACCACTTACTAAGCAGTAGACACATCCAGCTGACAAGTCCTACTTTATTTATTTTTTATTTTACTCCTTTGCGTTTTGAGTCTACCACTGGGCTTTAAGCTTGACCCTTGAAGTTTCTGTATCAATGCTGTTGTTTCTTTACGACGTGGAGTTGTTAGTCTAATACCCGACCTTCCCTCTTTGTCAGGCTTAAGGAGTGTGTTGACCTGGAATCGAATTCCGAAACACATGTATCGTTGGCGACCATTCTACCACTGGAACACACTGCACAGCAGATGACGAGTCATAAATAAGTTGAAACTCGCCTTCTAGATTCCACTGCTAGTCACCATAAGAAAGTAACTTCAAGTTACGTGACTATAGATTTAAATTAAGTCCACTCAGTCTCACAACTGATGAGCTTTTTATTAGAAAATTGTATAGTTAGTCTTATCCCACGGCATACTTCGAAAATCAAGCAGTCACCAGATAAAGGGTCGTTTATTTTTTGCAAAGGATTACTATATTATCTAATTTGTTTGGATACATTTTCGCTGATCTAATTAACTTCTAGACAGATAGTTATCAACAAAAATGTGGAATTCATAATTATCATAGAAGTAAAACTAATGTCGTTTTGTCTGTGTTATAATTTAACGCTTTCTTTCTTTCTTTCTTTCTATTTCTTTTCCTTTTAAAATTTTTAGTCAGATTCACTTTACACAATGAGTGATACAAAACCATTAAATACATCACAACCAGCAATAAAAACTCTAACAACACCATCAACAACAACAAAACCGGCAACAACAACAACAACACCAGCTTCAGCTTCATCAGCGCCTAAAGTAGATGATATACTTCTTCAACAAACAATTAATACATTTCAGTCACTTTTAGATGAACGTGATCAAGAAATAGGTCAATTAAAAAAGTATATACAACAAAATAAACAAGATAATAATAATAATCAATTGACTTTTTTTAGTAATAGTGGTGGTGGTGGTGGTGGTGAAGATGTTAATTTACCCAAACTATGTGAATCATCAATTCAAACTGAATTAAATAATGAACAAATGAATAAATTATCAACTTTAAAAGAAACATTAAATTCAGGTGGTCATATTCTAACTAATCAAGAATATGAAACATTAAATAATGAATTAAAGCAAACATTGGTTACACTAGCCAATAATCCAGACAATACAGATAAATCAACTACTGAAGGACAATTAAACCAAGATAATATTGATAATAATGATTTATTACTTACAGCTAATAAACTAAGAAAATTATCTCAAGGCATGAAAATTAAATCAACTCTACCAGAAACTAAACCATCCAATAAGTAAGTTTTGCTTAGAATTATCTATTATTTTATCCTGTATATTTTACTTTTACATAAAATAGATACCTCAATGTATGTTAAGTTTAACTAAGCTGTAAACTTGTGACTGATTACAGGATGAAGCTGTTTGAATTTCTAATGAGAAGCTGTGACCAGTGAGGTTCATAAAGTTGGGTGTGAACGCAGATACTCAAAGGTGACACTAGCTGGCGTTAGCTCTTATATATCGCTGAGTGACTCAAGCTAGAATTCATGGGCCGATAGTTTCCATCCTAGTGGCTCACTAGCGACTGTCCCTCTTCAGGAAGTGACCTGGGGTTGTAGTGTGAAGCCGTGACCATTAGGGTACAGCAGGTTGAAGATGAGGCAGTAACTCATCGAAGAAGACCGCTGCGAAGTGGCGGGCTATGTCGTGAATTGGTAGAAGTTAGAATTCGTGGGCCACTGGACCGGATCCCAGTGGCTTAATGGTCTATGAGCGAGCTCACTTTGTAACCATAAGGTCCTGCGTTCGAACCCTGGAGGTGAGTTCGTAATGATGAGGAGTCCCAAACTAGGACGGGGGAAACAGCTGTCTGGCAGTACTCCCTGCAGGTTTTTCAATGGTTCTCTAACTGATGTCAGCTCATGATGATACATGGGGGCTCGTTTTGCATTTGCCAGTTTACGCCGTCTCTGGCGTAGACGAGATATTCGACTATCCACCAGAGGGCGGGTGTACTGCTTATCAGTCCACCCCGTCCTCCTTTATGGCTGAGAGACCTGGCCATTGAGAGTGGAAGAATTGAAAAGATAAACTGTCTTTAATCATAGGTGCCTGCGTTCTATCTCCCGTGTGAAGTGGCATAATAAGGTGAGCGATATTGAGATTAGGCGTCGGTCAAGTGCTAGGTAGGTGGGAGGAGAAATCAATCGACGAGGCTGTGAAATTACATCGACTGAGATGGTTAGGACATGTGTTACGTATGCCTAGTCATCGCCTTCCTCGACAATGGGCAATGTTAGCTGATATAGGGACAGGCTGGAAAAGAGCCAGCGGCGGTCAAACCAAAATATGGCACCAGTCAATGAAATCTACAATAGTTAGTTTAAGCCACGCAGGAAGGTGTAGACTTCCTGGTTGGGGTCCTCGGACGGTGAAAACCAATGGTTGGAAACAATTGGTGACATGGCTCAAAATCGTTTTCAATGACAGCGCAGATGCATCCACTCCTTGTGACTTATGATTTCCAATGACACTGTTTTGTTCTTCAATATTACTATTCCTTTGTCTCACACCTCTGTTTACTGTCTCTAATATGCATTTCTTCTACTTTCTTCTCTTGCTTTGTGTGCTACATGGAGGGAGTGTGGCGACTTGAACTGCAGCGCATATGTGCAATGTTCTATGTCGAAAACAGACAGACAGGCAGACATGATGAAATCCTCCATGCAATTAAACAAAAATCCCTACGAAACCAATACTTGAAAATTAATGGTAAACAGTCTCGTCTGGTGAGTCGAAGGCCTTAGGTTCGATTTTCGGTGCGGTTAATAGTGCGCCTCAAGGACGAGACAACTGTCCAGTACTCTATGGATTTCTAACTGATGTCAGTCTGTTATGAAACTTGAAATCAGTCAAATCCCTGAAAACCAGTACTTGGACACTTAGATATACACTGAATTTAACATTAACAGAAACGAGATAATTAGTATGTTCTCGGATTTTTTAAAATTTTATTTTGTTTCTTTGAGTTCCAATTGAAATTGAAAAAGGATTGATCTCTGAGGTTTCAGTAGAAGCAGTGTTTATCTCTTTTCCGGGTGGGGTTTCTGGCCTTACGCCCAGACCTCCTTCTCTACTGGACTTACTACCACTGTACGTCAGCCATGGATGAAATCTCGGACCTTGATCATGGTTGGCTAATATTCTATCACTAACCACCGACGATTGTGATTTTATTGGTTTGCAACAGGCCGTGAAATTATTTCTTACTTGGGAGTGTATTAAATTGCAGCTAAACGAAAAATTGGACACTATTCGTCTTTTAATATAACTACATTAATGGATTCATTTTTCAACAGAAATTGATATGATTTGTCAAGATATCATGATTGTAGAGGGTTATGATGTTGACTTTTCAACTTAAGAATTGTTGTGAAAACTTTTTGAAAAAAACTTCTGTCCAACCTGAATTTCTCAGAAAGAGGAAATCGTTGAACCATAGAATTAATTATGTGACATAATAGTTTTCTATGCACTGCAATAATTCTAGATACTGTTGAAGTCTGCTTCAAATCCAATAAATTATTTCTTCTACAATGAGTCACATAACTTTGTAGAAAAAAAAGCTTCAGTTGTTGTTCATTCCTATTTGTTAACTTCACCCCCTTTTTGGATTAAAAATGTAACTTGCTGTAATCAATTATTTTTAATCCAAAAAGGCGGTGAAGTTAACATATGGGTAAAAAAAAGTGTCTGGATGGTTAAACGATAATTGAAGCTTTTTTCTACGGAGTAAAGTGATTCATTATCAATGGGCAGTCACGTTTGATGACACAATCAACACCAACATCAACAAACAACAACAACAATACGGGGAAATAATTATATGGTCTATATATATATATATATATATATGTCTGGAAATATTTCTGTCTGGTTTTAACTATTTACTATGTGTATGTGATCAAAACAAAATCCCTTGAATATTTTTGTTTTCCAACTATACTGAGATTTGTGATGAAAAGTGGGAAAAATGTGCATCTCGATCGTATTTTTATTCAAGTTGAAAAGTTTAATAAAAAGCACTAATTTTCAAGTGATGGTTTGCAGGGATTTGTTTAGTTACAGATTCGATTACAATCTGATAATTACTGAACAACCATTCAAAACCAGAGTGTACTGGACAGGCTTTTCGCCCTAGTTTGAGATGCTTCAGCAGTATGCAACCTCCAGGGATTCCAACCCACTGGGACCTGTTTCAATGACCTATGAATCCGAACTTCTGTCTGTCTGTTTTCGACATAGAACATTGCACATATGTGCGGCAGTTCAAGTCGCCACACTCCCTCCATGTAGCACACAAAGCAAGAGAAGAAAGTAGAAGAAATGCATATTAGAGACAGTAAACAGAGGTGTGAGACAAAGGAATAGTAATAACGAAGAACAAAACAGTGTCATTGGAAATCATAAGTCACAAGGAGTGAATGCATCTGCGCTGTCATTGAAAACGATTTTGAGCCATGTCACCAATTGTTTCCAACCATTGGTTTTTACCACTACCAATTCGCGAAATATAGTGCGACCACTAGCCGATATCATGAGGTGGTAAATGTTCTCTTACCTGACTTGGTTAGCTCCGCTGGTTAGGACTTTTCACTGGAACTCCAGGTTCCGTTCTGCATACAACCATTCATTAGTGAGTGTTGGCTTGCAGGGATTTGATTGGTTACAGGTTTGATTATGAACTGAAATCAGCTAGGGATTTCTTACATGAATAAGTTCATGGGCGTTCTCTCTAACGATTTTATTTAACTCTTTGTGTCCTATTTTGATAGACATTTGGTTGAAATAAGCTCACCTATTGTCTTGTTAACCTTTTGATTTTCATTTTTTTATTACATAACATTCGTCTTCGTTTCGTACAGACCTGATTGAAAAATTAGGCTACATTTGCAGCGGAGACATTTGTTTTTCTGTGTATGGTGGTTACTCATAGCACTGAGTTTATAACTAGCCTAAAGTTACTCACATTACTACTAATAAAAAAATACGAATACTGCACTATTATATTTCATTTTAAGCAATCACCCCTTCTCCCCTGAACATTAATTTATGTTAGAATTTTATTTAGTTTCTTTCATATGTACTTTTAAGTGTGATGGCTTGAGCTGCTGTTGTAGTTTTGTGCAAATTTCTCCTCAATGAAAGTGTTCCGTCGACAGCTTAGCTGCTTGAAGTATCATTTTGACCACCAAATTTATTAATTTTTTTAAAACTCCCAGGTTTTCCAGTGGTTCTCTAACTGATGTCAGCTCATGATTAAATCCTCCATGCAATGAAACAAAATCCCTACAAAACCAATACTTGAAAATTATTATTATTATTATATCCTTTAATTCCTAGAGGAACATAGGGCTTCAGCTGCAAGTCACCATTGCCTTCGGTTTTCTGCCAACTTTTTCCCCCCTTGTCCAAGTCTGCCCACATGCTTTCATCTCCTGTTCACATGACCTCCTCCAAGTCATCCTTGCACTGACGACCAACTCGCACTTCCTTTTCGGGTTCCACTCGAGCGATGGCTTGTCTAGTGATGTCACTTGATGGTTTCCTGAGAGTATGGGCAGCCAATCCATCTCCATTTCTTCCTGCCTATTTGTTTCACAATCGGTTCCTGGTTGGTTCATTCATTGCCAGAGATCCCTGTTGCTGATCTTTTCTGGCCGGCCGTCTGATCTTGAGTATTAAGCAAAGACAACTGTTAATGAAGGTCTGAAGTTTATTTGAGATGCTCTTCGTGACGCGCCAAGTCTCTGATCCGTATAGTAGCACTGAATTCACATTGGAGTTGAAAATCCGGATCTTATTTTTGATGCTGAGTGCTGTTGACCTCCACACAGACTTGAGAGTAATGAAAGCTTGCCTTGGTTTGATATCCTCGTCAGTTCCGCCTGTAGTTGGAACGATGCTTCCCAAATTTAGTGCTTTTAAATTATGCTAGACTGATAAATGATTTGTGATTTAGTGGTTACTTCAAATACAGTAGTATTCAACCCGCAATCCATTTATCACTCTGACCGTGTTTTGTCACTGCAACTTTTTAGTGACTTTTTAGTAACAGCAGAAAGGAAGACACGGAATCCAAGGTATATTTTTCATTGATCACACCCCTGTTTATATATATACAGTTTATATACGCTGACGAATCACTGAGCTTTTGATTTCGGCTTACATCAAACAACTTGAAATACAATGATCAAATATACATAGTATTCTTTTGTTAATGCAGTATATAACT